TCTAAAATATGAATGTAAACCGTGGTACTTTGTCACATCTCGTTTACGCACCGCGCTTATAATTATCTATCGATTTCGTGTAATCTGTTCGATTTTCGGGAAAAGAGAGAAATTTGTGCGACTCCGGCGTTCGCGCTGTAATTCGCTCTGTCGTTCTTAGCAACTCGAACGGGCAGGAAGTAAAAAAAGTCGCTTATCACACTTCGTTACATTATGTAACGAATGTAATCGAAAATTATCTCGATTAACTGTTGCAATTAATAACACCTATTTATCGCTCACATTTTCTATTTCATATCACGGAAATTACGCAACATAATCTATTTCGAGGATTAGATTGAATAACAAAGATTGTAAAATATCGTTTCGCTGCGGACTAATAACTACTTCTTTACCGCAGATTATGCTTCCGATGCTCGCGTTGCGTTTTATACCGCCAATTCAAAAGTGATTTATCCATTCTTCCGAATAAAAAATGCAAGTTGATAGTTTGACAGTACCGGCCTTAGGGCGGGGCGCGGTTGGGCGGTCGCCCAGGGCGCCAAATCTGTAGGGGCGCCGCTGCCTGGTTTCACCTAGTTTGAGAGAGATTCCCTAAAATATAAAAACAAAATGGGGTTCGTCGTTCGATATTATTACCCTGTCTTTTCTTTCGCAAGAATTTCGAGCCCCTGAATTTGAATGGGCGCCACGATAATCTTGCTCAGGGCGCCAATGTTGTTAAAACCGGCACTGTAGTTTGAGTAATTAGTATGACAGAAAGTCACGCGATATTTGTTAATAATATTTCGTGCGTTTCGCGGTATTTCACATCGCGTACGGGAGTGCCCGAAATTTCGCGCGATCGATGATTTTTGCGAGTGAGTGTGTGTGAGTGCAACAAGGAAATCTGACAGGATGAAGAGGCCTCACAGGCATCGGATAACAGCGGAGAAAGCGTGAGGTAAGTGTATTACATTTTTATGTTATCTGTTACTTGTGTGAAGTAAAGCGTCTGTTTTGTGTTTTTATTTGATTTATTCAAATAATTCGAACGAGGATTCGAAAAAGTTTTAGAGACAAAACCATACGTATACAATTTTGTGAGTTTATATTTAAAAGAAAGACTTTTTCAGTATTCTTTATAATTATTTTAAATATCTATTTAAAAAAATATAAAATATAAAGTATATTTAATACAATAATTTTGATTTTACATAATTAGTCTATAATAATCATATACATATTTGTATTTTTACAGTTTAACATATACAGTTAACGATGTACAACTCTGGTATTACGAATCGTATCAGTGAGTGATAAATTACTTTTTATTTTAAATTGACGTTGCACATACAATTACTTCTCTTTGCATGTATACAATTTCTTAAACATATACAATGCTCAACTATAATCTGCGCGCGTTTTGTCATTTCTAATAAACTATAAAAGTGAGATGAGGAAACAATATACATATTACAAACATAATTCAATCATTATTTTAAAATAATATTGCTACAATATTACTAAAGTAATATTACTAAAGTAAAAATTAGTTTCAAACCATTCAAACTATTCGGCGCTTTATAACTTAGAATCAGTGTCCAAGTAACATTTTTAAGTTTTTAAGGTGTAAAAAATGTGAACAAAAGATTAAAAGAATAAATAAATCGATTGATAAGAAATACAAATTATATTCCACGCTCATGACGTGTATATTACCCAAGGAGCGCCAATGCACGTATAATGCGCTCTAAATGTGCATTAAAATTCGCATTAAATGCGAATTGTACATGCACATTTAAAGCGCATATTTGTCCCGCATTAAATGTACATTTAATGTACATTAATTAATGCGCATTAAATGCGCATTAAATGTA